ATTCCAGAAAAAAGCAACACTGTGAACACAACTGAGCAGAGGTTCTCAAATTTAGGTGTGTACTAGAATAATGCTGGAGAATGATCAATAACAAATGAAACATCATAGTTGCCTCTGCTGTAGGAACAAAGGAATATGATCAGGATATGAAGGAGACTATAACTGTATTGGTAATATATTTCTTAACCCGAGTGGTGCATACATCTGAACTATTTTATACTATATTTTAAAGAATAAATCAGTCTAAAGAGACTGTAAAATACAGAGTATAAGGCATCAGTTCTGATTCAGTAGGCTTAGAATGGCACTAACAAGCATCCCAGGTAATTGTTATACAAATGGTTCATGGACCACTCTAAAAATATTATGCTAGCATTTCGTCTTCAAGTGGAAAAGGAAAAATCAATAGCACCGGTGCATAAAGCCCAGGGCTCAGAGTCAGGACCCCTGACCCATATTCTCTGCTCTGCTCCAATTTGGTACATAAGTATTTGCTAGTAGGTTAACTTCTTTAAACATTATTTTCCCAAGCAGAAAGCCACTTGTATCCTTGTTCAGCATGGTAAGGATAAGTTAAATGACGCCTGGTGAAACTTGAGGGATTTTACAGGATATGCATGGTTTATAGGGAAGATAATGTTTTTTTTTTTTTTTTTTTAGAAAAATAGCCCCCTTTCCTTGATTCAAGTTCTCAGTGATCTGTCTCTATTGGCAATTTTCATTGAGCTTGAAGCATATAGCAGTAGGACCTTACATGGAAAGAAAAACTGGTGCCTCTCTGGGTATTTTGAATTATATCTCCTTAACTAAGAAAAAAAAACGTCCAGAGTGGTGGTTCTCACTTATGTTGGGAAAAGGGAACACAGCATACACATCAGAGTCACTGGGGAGATTTTTCAAAACATGCAGACTTCCACCTGTTGCTATGTAAATAAGAATGGAAAAGAGGATGGGAGAGTTGGGGAGTCCACATTTTTTTAAGCACTCCAGGTGATCTTGATACATTCCCTGCTCTAGAAAGATTTTTGGCCTCCCTCATGTAACCCAATCCAAGATCTTATACTTTTTCCTGCCAAGAAGTTCCGTATATTTACTTCTCAACTATTTCTTCTTTGTTTAGCTCTCACTGAAGATAGAGAACAATTCACAAGCATCTTGCATATGTATACACAGGGGAATGTGAATAATGACCTTGTTCTCAGGGACTGGGGGCCAGCTGTTTGGAAACCTCAGCATCCCCAGGGTTGAAATAATCTCCTGGCCAGATGTTTCCTTCACCGGTTGGAGCAGGGCATGAAGGTCCCAGTGGAAGGCTCCCTGGACCCTAGGCTTGTCCAGCTGGATCAGCTGCAGGTGGAGCAAATGGGACCCAAGGGCCCCATCAGGTCACCTTGCTAAGTCTGACTCAGGCCAGCAGCTCTTTATTTCTTCCTGTCTCTCCCACTTCCCACTGTTCATCTCTGTGGGCAGCTGCCAAACTGGGGAACAAGAGTCAGGCAGGGGGAGGGAGTAGTTCTTAATGGATACTCCATCTCTTCAGTGGTTTGGGGTCTGGCAGAGATAAACCAGACCTAAAACAGATTGGCTCCACCCCCTAATGTATTTCAGTTAATGCACTAGCTGCCGAGAAGCAGCCAGACCTGGAGCAACAAAATCAATTCTCCTCAGCTGAACAGCAAGCTTAAACTTAACCCCCACAGCTTTTTCTCTTGTGTCTTTTATCCCTGGTGCTAAACAGGCTGTTCAGGCTTGGCTTCCTGACACTGACAGAGCATATCTCTGAGAGGTTGGACACAAGATCTGTGGAGACTCTTGGGTAATGGTCATGTGCCAAGGGGCTCCTAGAAAATATGACACACCCAAGCAATCTTCACCATTCCCTCACGTCTGATGTAACCTTGATAGGTACCAATTTTTAAATTAAAAAAAAAATTTTTTTTAATTTCTGAGAGAGAGAGAGAGACAGCATGAGCAGGGGAGGGTCAGAGAGAGAGGGAGATACAGAATCTGAAACAGGCTCCAGGCTCTGAGCTAGCTGTCAGCACAGAGCCTGATGCGGGGCTCGAACCTATGAACTGTGAGATCATGACCTGAGCTGAAGTTGGACGCTTAACCGACTGAGCCACCCAGGCACCTCAGGTACAAGTTTTTAAAAAGGAGGTAGGAATGACCCTGATTTGGCTGGTGTTACAGATGGGGGAGCTGTGGAAATTTAGCGATCTGTCCAGTGTCATTCACTTAACGAGAGATAACCCTTGAACTACTACACCTTGGGTCTTGACTCCTATGACTACTGTCAAATGGCATTTCATTTTTGAACTTTAAAGACCCTCACCCAGAGGTGCCTGGGTGGCTCAGTCAGTTGGGCATCCGACTTCAGCTCAGGTCATTATCTTGTAGTCAGAGAGTTCGAGCCCCACATCAGGCTCTGTGCTGACAGCTCAGAGCCTGGAGCCTGCTTCAGATTCTGTGTCTCCCTCTTTCTCTGCTCCTCTCCTGCTTGTGCTCTGTCTCTCCCTCTGTCTCTCAAAAAAAAAAAAAGAATAAACATTAAAAAAATAAAGACCTTCAACCAGGTATAAATATTGTGACCATGTTCCTATAAGCAAGGGTCATTGGGGAATAATTCTATATGAGGAATCATATAAGATGAAAATAGTACTGATGTTTTGCTTCCTCTGTATTACTCCTGCCACTCAGCCAAAGCTGTTCCCCACTCAGTCCATGAGTGTATTGGAAAACTCTACTACCTACCCACATATCTTCTCAAGAATTTCCCTTGAGTTTCTAAACCTAGGAAGTGGGATCAACTAAAATATATCATATGGAGAACTATAAGGATTTTGTAAAAGTCTCAGTCAAGCCCAAGCAAGCTGGAAGTAGGAACCACTGCTGATGCCTGGGGTGTAATGGAAGCTGTTGCTACTTGCCTTCCGATTCCTACCAATTAGCCCCTCTCACCCTCTGCTGGCAACTCTTAGAAATTCAAGTGAGACTAAGCTGTCACTCTCAAATCAGAATAGAAAAGGACTCAGGGTACTAACGTCTCTGAATGGAAGCCTGGAGAAAAAAAAAAAAAGGATATGATGTGAACAAACCCAGCTCTCATATGTCCAACTTGTCCTAAAATACAGTAGACACTGCCATAGCTGTGTATTCATTCTTTTATAGTTACTGAACACCTGGTCTGTGCCAGGCACTGAACTTGGCCCTGAGAATATAAACATGAGTTGCAAAGATCACTGCTTTCTCCTGCCAGCTAAGTGTCATTTCCGAAATAATGTGTCCATAAAAGTGCTATCTATAGCATGCCCAAGAATTCAGGTAAAAAGTGAGCCTATTTAAGGTTTATTTATGACATCCATAGAGCCCCCAAAGGGAGACAAAGAAATTGGCTTATACAAGCCTTAGTAACTGGTTCTGAACCATGGTTTTCAAGGGGGAAGCAAGAAGCTAGTCTAATGACTTTCAATGTGGCCAGAAAACCATTAGTAGCTAAAGAATGGAAAAATTCAGAAATAAGAGAGACTAGAATGTGAATTCACATTTAAAACTTTTACAGTGAGTCTGAAGAAAGAGGGAACCAGAAAATATCATCTTAACTGGCACAACAAAAAGAATCTGGCACTTCTTATAAGCAGATCAGGAAACCATGATGCCTTGGTTCAGGGCTTCTCCACCTTGGCATTATTGACATTTTGTGCTGGACACTTCTTTGTTGTTGGAAGTGGGAAGCTGTCTTGTTCTTGTGCATTGTGGGATATTTAACATCATCCTTCACCTTTATCCACTGGATGTCAATAGCACACTCCCCACATTGTGATAACCAAAAGTATCTCAAAGAGATTGTCAAATGTCCAGGGCAGGGTGGGAATAGCCCCTATTGAGAAACACTGTCTTTATTCACCACTATTCTCTCACTCCAAGGCCAACCCAATATAGTTAATAGAGAGAAGAAAGAAAATTGGGATCTGCACTATCTTGCCAATGAACAAACTCAAGGAAGGAAGAGGGGCGAGCATAGTAGAAGTCACTGTCACTTGCCCAGCCACAGGGCAACTTAGCGTAAGAGCTAGGAGTGTGAACCAAATTTCTTGGCTCCACTCATCCACATTGTGCTGGTAATGGAGATGATAATGATAATGACTTGAATAATATTCTAAAACTTCATGAGCAACAACAACAAACTTCAGCAAGATGTTCTACCAGCACTTTTTCCCGGTGCCCCATCCAGGTATAAAATATAACACACATATTTGCCTGCCTAAACTTGCCTTTTCTTCTCATAAAGTTCAAATTAAACTGCCTGATTGCCTTCCTGCAGTCTGCAATTTTTGCATTTCGCTCTTTCCTGGCCCATCTACACAGTACCAGCGCCCCAGGTCTTTTGCACAAAATTTAAAGGGATACTAAATGAGGGGAAAATAAGTAGGGTAGGTCAGGGCCATAGGAAATTGGGATAGACTGTTAATGGCTACCAGACAGGGCTAGCCTTAGATATAGGCCAAATAAGCAGTCACCTACAGTCTGTTACCTAACATTTGACTTTTAGAGTTATATTACTTTGGTGAAAGCTGTACATTAAACTTAGCACTTGTGTGTACATATTTATTAGATCATTGCCCTTTGAGATCACTATCAGAGATCAAGGCTCTCAGAGATCAAGTGTATTTAGAGTTTATGTTGTTGTCCCTGGAAAGTGGATCTGGATAATAGTCTTAAATTGGTACTGTTCAGGCAGAAGAAGGTGATGAAAATGGAGGCTAAAAAAAGCAGACACTAACTTTGCTACTAGTCCGTTTTGCTATGAGTAAAACCCTGATATAGATTGCACTCTGCAGAGTATTGGGCTGGGTCATTCAAAGGAGTCCCCATTCATAGCGTTTGGGTTGGATAAACAGGAGGGGTAGAGAATGGATTTCCCCATAAGGCAACATATTCCACCCCCACCCCTACCACCAAGCTCCACAACCTACCCAACCCCAGCGACACAGTCTTACCTCCCACGAACTGTGCTGCTCCCATGCAACGTCCCATCATTCTGGAGATGAGCTCCTCCATGCAGCAGCCCAGGACAGCAGCCAGTGCCACGAGGAGCAGCAGAGCACAGCCGGCACCTGTCACCACCGTGCATATTTGCCAGGCCAGGCTTGGGATGGCACTGAAGCTGGCATAGCGCCCACACTCTTCGACCATGATCAGACTGTGCCCCTCTCCCCGCACGGGGTAGTTGCACCTCCGGAATGTGCTGAATGACACTGGCTTCCCCAGCTGGGATCCAAAGAGCCAGTAAGGCAGGAAGTAACTGGTAGAACTGGCCACAGCAGTAACAAGGGACAGGAAGGCCCAGAGGGTCCCCACCAGGGTCAGGCTGCTCCTCATGGTCCCAGGTTTCTCTGCAGGGATGGGGAGATGAGTTGGGTCACAGCACCAAATGCAAAAAGTTATCAAGTAGGCTCCAGTGGCCAATTTTTCATTTGGCTGGCCAGTCTTAAGGCTTGTTTATGTAACACTTGGCCTTTGCTTTTGGATAAAAGTATTCTCCTCAAGACCATTTAGGTCCTTCTGGGATTCTGCTTTCCAGCATTTTCCCCATCTTCCCTTTCTTCCGCCTGATTCAGATTTCTATGGTCTCTAGGCTGCAATGGAAGAGCCATTGAACTGAATTAGTGGCTGTTCCAGCAACTTCAATGCAGCCTAATCAGACAGCTTTCAACTCTTGACATCTAGCATGAAGCAAGTGACAGGAGGGTAGGCTGAATGAAACCAAGGCTGCCCAGAGAATCCTCAGCCTCCAGTGGAATGGCTTTACTGGCCTGGAGGCCTGGAAAGAGATGGTATCTCAAGAGGGTCAGGAAGCAAGTTGTTTTCAGAGAGTGAGGGAGAAGGAAGACAACTCATGGGGCTGCCCCTCCTACAAGGGAGAAGAGGGAAAGAGAGCCACTATGGGGTCACAGGATGTGGACCTGCGATCTATGTAGGATTTCTAATAGTGCATCAATATGAGCTGTTCACAAGGTTGAAATATGTAGAATAAAATATGGGGCGACTCTGTCACATGCCATGCTTATCACTGAGTGAGCCTTGTTCAGTCACTTTTTCCCCAAAAGCAATATGAGAGGCAACTTTCCAACCAGTAAGGGTTGTTTGACTACACCAGCTATTGAGAAAACCTGCCTCATCCTTCACTCAAAGGCTTCTATTCTCTCTGAAATAGATCAGGTGCCCCCTGCCTGGCAGCAGGAATGTATATATAGCTGTAAAGACCTTTCAAGGTACCTTCCGGAACAAGTAATCTCAGATTCAAGACCCTGAGATCCTTTTCAGGTCTAATCTCCTCAGCCCAGCTCACGAATGGCTTTCACAGACCCCTCTGTTGAAAATCAACCACTTCCCTCCCAACTCCATTAATCTGCCATTGCTTTCTGGCCTCAATTAGGGCAGCTAGAGACCACACTGCAGCTTGATGACAGCACTGTGAATGTCTCCAGCAGGCAGATGGTGTAGGATATTTCAGAAACTTCTCCATGATTCATCACCATTGTCTAAAGCTACAGGTTGGGGGGAGAGGGTTACAGGGGTGGGGGACCCAAGGTAAGGGGAACAGTGCAGGCACTGGTTGTATGGGGGCTGCCATACTGCCAATTTGAGACATTGTCAGGAGCTAGCAGCAGCTGTTTTCAGGGTCTCAGGGACCATGCCCAGCCATGGGCCCTTTCATAAGCACCATTACACTATGTCTGGTGCAGAGTAGGCACTCCAACTCATGTTTGTTTAATGAAACCCATTTCGTAGAAGCAGCGAGTTTCCAGGATGCCAGGGACCTTTATGAATCACCTAATTCAACCTTCTTGTTTTATATATGGGGGATCATGGCCTGGTAATGAAAGAAATGATTTCCCCTAAGTCATAGAGTAAGTTAGCAAGCGGCAAAACCAGAATAAGAAAATAAGAAACCCGATCTAGGCCAATACTTTTCTACCACACAGTACTAACATCCCTCCCCCCCATCACTTTACAGACGGGAATCTGGAGAGGAAGTGATTTACCCAAGGGGAAATGGCTAGTGAGGTACACTGGCCAGACCAGAGCCCAGTTATTTGATTCTTAGCATAATGCTCTGTTTTCAGTCCACCGCAATTCCCCTCCTGAAACATATGTATTGTGTGCTATGTGTTTTGTGCAGGAAGGGAGAGAAGATCATAAATTGCAGGTGCTTATGTTGGAATGTTAGGGCTTGGGAAGAAAGTGCCCTGAGCTGGGCCCCTGGGAACAAGGCTTTGTGCCTGATGTGAGGGGGGGAGGGTGAGAAGAAGATGTGATGAGGGATTGTAAGCCAATAGGAGAAGTGGAACTAGTTTTAAGTAATTGCTGTTAGAAAACAGGTATGCTTGGCCGCAATGAGGTAATGCCTCTACTTGTTATATTAGAGTTTGTAAGATTATGAGAAGTGCAAGCAGCACTCTGTTATGGATTCACTTCCTGGTGAAGAAGCCCAGGCAGGAGGATGGGAGGAAACAAACTGACAAACGCTACCTGCCAACTGCCTCATCATACTCCCTTTCAAAGCCATCATTTCATGTGCTCTGTCCAACAACCTTCTGTGTTTGGTAAGAAAAACATCACTCCCAATTTACAAATTAGCCCATTGAGTATCAGAAAGCTAAGTGGCTTGCCCAAGGTGACACAGTGATTTAATGGCACAGCCATCATTTCCTACTGCCCATTCACCCAAAACCTTCCCTCATTGTTCTCCTTTATCACCCCAATAGTATTACAATGAAAAGCCTCCATGGTTTCCCATCCAGGATTTCAAAAAAATGTTTAAGAATGGGGAAAGAATTAGAAGGACAGACTGGGAAGGTGGGAGAAAGGCCACTTTCTCTAAGCAGTGTGTAAACCAGCAGAACAAGAGCATTAGCTCTTTCAAGCTCAGCAATAAGTCAGAACCAACCCCATATGTTGCCCCAAAACATTATCACCTGGAGATCCAAGGCCCCAGCAGGACAACCAGTAGAAAGGCAGAGAATCTAAGGCAGAGAAAGAAACTATATCAGTGAGTGGCATCTAGACTATATTAAAAATAAAAGGTGTGGCTCTGACATAAGATTATTAACTTCTGAGAGAAATCAGGCTTTTAAAAAAAACTACAATACTACCAACCACTATCACCACAATTTTAGTTTTAAAATGTAAGATGGAAGAATCACAAAAGTCAGTTTAAATTACACATGCTTATCTTTAGGGAAACTCATTGGCTATCAGAACCTAAATTATATCCCTCCAACTTCAGAAAAAACTCATTGTACTTATTTCATTCAGAACTAGGATGACCAATTATGCCAGTTCTCCTGGGACTGAGGCATTTCCTGGGATGTGGGACTTTCAGTGACAAAACTAGGAAAGTTAGTCATTCTATTTAGGACCAGATGTGTGGTGAGCCAGCACTGTCCATGGAGAGCAAGTTCAGAATCACTGCCACAAATAACTCTAATGTTCTCTCTTCAGGACTCAAACAATACAAAGTCAGAAGTGACCATGGAATTAAACAGTGCAGAGCTGAAGCCTATGTATTTTGAATGTAAACCTTTCTGAATCATAGATGAGACCTCATGCAGTCAAGGAAGAGATCTCAGAGATCCAATTGCTCCATATTTTCTGAGCATAGAATAAACCCCAACCCAGCTTGGGAATTGGAATTGGAATTATTTCGCCTGTGGATGGACAGAGAGTCAATGGGCCATGTGGATGCTACGCAGGCACACTGTACATGCTCACATGTGCCAGGTGGGGAAGCACATTCAAGCAAGTGCTTTTAGTTCCTGTATTGCCTGCAGTGGAGTAACTTCCCTTCATGACAGCCCTCCAAAGCAATCCAAGTTCATTGGATCCATAGTTCTCAGGAACTAGCTAAGTCTCTTTGCAATCACATAAATAAAAGTCACACACAGTGCTACACTTCATTCTATCTTTATTCTTCTTGTATATGTCATGTATGCAATGGCTTTGTTTCCCTGTCCTAGAATTCTAGCTATATAGCTACACTGGATTTCAGAAACAAAGAACTCACCTTGGTGTTCCTGCTAATTGGCCCAGTAACCAGTCATTGAGAGGCTTGTTAATGACCCTCTGTCTTCAGGTGTCACATGCTCCCTCATCCCTTAGTTTCTCCATCTTCTAAGTGGGTCACATGCCTGTTTCTGAGAGTGGTTGTGGTCATATAAGATGCAGTGAGTGTGGCCAGAAAGTTTAACAACCAGAGTGGAAGCATGGTGTGTTCTGCATTTACTATTCTTGACAGAAGGCTAATGTTCACTAATCTTTAGAGATATCATTGTCATTCTAATGCAGACTCATGGGTAAGAATCACTCCAGCCTTTTGAGGCAGGAAACACACCTAAGTATTACATGTCAAATGGTCATCTACAGTGCTTTTAAAGAACTTCATGGAAGGAGAATCTACAATTTTTCTCAGTAGCTTAACAACTCTCACTGTCAATAAATCATTTATTATGTCTTATTTTAAACTTTTTCTGCTGCAACTTAAGGCCAATTCCTTTGGTTGTGTCCTCAGAGAGAATGGAGAAGAGCTTGGCTGGTCTTCCAGATGACAGTCCTTAATCAACTCAGATTGCTGGTAGCTTACCTTTAAGCCCCCCCCCCTTGAGCATTCTACCTCTCTCTTTGTGGTGTTACACTGCCAAGTCTTCATCATTTGTTCTCACTTTTTCATTCTCATGTGTACGTACTCTTATGTAGGCAGTTAGTAGCAATGAAACTGGAAAAAAACACTCTTATTTCTTCTGGGTGGAAGAAAAGAAACCAAATCCTTCCTTTACCTCATTTTCTCCCCAGTTCCCACTGGAAACGACTCAAATACTTTTGTTCCCTGTTAAGCTTGTGATACAACTTCTGAGTTAAGGAAAGCACTACCTTACCAAGGGTAACAGGATCCAGGAAAGGCAGCCATTGAGTTAATGACCAGAATACAGAGTGGTCAGAGAGTCCCTGATTTGCAGCTGCTAAGCAAAACATGGCTGTAAGACTACTGGTCTGTGAGGAGCAGCTTTGTTGGCACTGGTGCTGGCAAAGGAATATGAACAGGCCTTTCTTGCCATGCCCCTCAGATAGTATGCATCGCCTACCTGCCAACCCTGTTACAAATATATCATGTTCAGTGTTGAGACTTCTGTAGGAAGTGACACAGGCATATGTTTCCAATGGTAAATAGAAGCATGCTCCAGAAATGTCTTTGCCCAATGAGATTCCTTGTATCAAGTTGGGTATATAAACTGCCTAAATTTGAACATTCTAGATCTTTCTGCTTCAGACAGAGCCTCAAAAGATCTACTACCACTTTCCAAACATTTTTCTCCTTATTTTCTACCACCTGAGTCCTTCAGATGTTATTCCTCTTCCGTATATCTCCACAATGGGAGCTACTCCTAGTT